GCCGTTTGAGGTGTGCCCCCCACTATTTTTTTAGCTTTTTGCAGGGCTTGGCTTGGGATTTGAAATGAACAAAAAAAAAAATTTAACCGGTACCGGTACCAAAAAAAAGGTACCGGAACCGGTACCGAAATGGGCGGTACCGGTACCGGTTCCCGGAACCGGTGACACGGCGACGACGACGGTGACGGTGGCGGGTACCGGCGGTATCGTTGCCGGTGACGGTACCGTACCGGTACCGTGTCCACCCCTAATGTGATGTATATTTAACTATTTAGGGTGTGAATTAGTCGCATAATTTTCGTATCACATCATTGTTGCAAATGAAAAAATGATACTCCCTCATTTCCAAATTAGTGTCTAATTTTCTACTTTAACTATGCTCCATAAATAAAGTTTTAAAAAAGGGAAACGCTAGGGGTACATTTTTTGGTGTACCTTATTTGTACACTACCAAGCTCATCACCACACATTTCTTATTTGAAATGTTTTTACACAACTTAAGGGAGAAAGAGTGAGACAAGGTACATTTCACAAAATCCATCACTAGTTGTTCTTTAAATACTGTCGCTAACATCATATTCAATAGTAAACAAATAATCCTTGAAGAGGGAAAATTTCTCTCCAATTACACCAACAAAAGCATGGATTACAAATTTATTTAAAGAAGGGAATTATCTCTCTCTCTCTCATCCAAAGCAAATGCCACTCCATTGGTGCACAAAGCCACATTTATTCTTCACAGTCAGCCCCAAAGTAGCAAAAGTCATCACTTAGTTTTTACCACACCTACAAGTGACTTAGCTCATGTTTTTTTAACTTATTTCTTTAACTTATTACTTATTCTTATTAGAATCAGATCAGATTAGATTAGAAATAGCTTTAAATATAATTACATTCATATCAGATCAGACTAGATTAAATCATAATTTATTTCAATCAGATCAGCTGAAGAGAATATGACCTTAGAGCTTGTTCTTTTCACTTAATCTGATTGGTTCTGATCTAATCTGGTTGATCTTATTGTATTTATATTTAAAAAAATTCCGATCTGACCTGATTCCAATAAAAATAAGTAAAAAGTAATAGGAAAAATTAAAGAGAACAAGCTCGTAATTTTTTTACTAACTAACAAGTGACAGAGAAAAACAAGCGATAATGAGTCAGAAAAAGAGCACACAATCAATCCAAAATGAAAGAGGCAACTCACAAGTATGGAAAGAAGACAAATCCTAAAGAGAAACTACAGTGTGACAATATTGCAGAAATGATGGTAGAGTTCAAAAACTCCAAGAGCCTTACTTAGAGAAGCATCATGCTTAAGGCCTTGTTCTTTTGGCTTGAAAAGATTAACTTCTAATTTTTTCTAACTCCTTCAAGTTTCTTCTAACGATTTTAAAAAGTATTTATATATGATGAATATACAATAATATTATATATCTAAATTTATAACATAACACCACAAACACGGACAATGATGAATTCTTTTTTATCCAAAACTAGAGTTTTGTTTTACATATTTATTTGGGTGACTTTTTAAATCTTAAATTCTTCCAACATTTTCCAACTTATTCTAGTTTTTTCCAATTTCTTCCAGTGTTTTTCAACTCTTTCAGTTTCTTCCAACATTCAATTCTGAAATTTCAATCTAAAAGAACATGACCTAAACGTTGGTAACAAAACAACAAAAGAAAACGAGTATCTTTTGATTTGGAAAATGTTAAGGACGCCTTGTATCATACAATGAAAAGTCTTTTATACGGAGTAATATGGAATACTCCATGTTCATCATGGTGCATATATTTAATTAGGTAGAATTAATTTAGCCCCATTTGGAAGGACAACAAATGCCATTCCAAACCCTTCAAACATCTTGCAATACCAAATATTATGTTGATATTAGTTTCCACTTTATATAATTGGTGAAGGTTACTCCGTATTACAGAGTGTATATTTCTCAAAAATGGTGTATGTTGCAACACTAGTTATTAAACATTTTTCTTTGCCACCTGAATTAAATGCATTTAAACTCTATATCTATCGGAAAAAAAAGATATCTAAAAGAAATGAGAGAAAATACTCAATGATGATTTAAATAGGTATATATATTTCTCATTTATATTTATCTTAATTTTTTATTGAGTATTATTGCAATGACTCTAAGCCTCTATTTATAATGGATAGGCATAGTATAAACATTCATACTAATGAATTGAAGGAAGATCGAATTGTATAAATTGCAGTCATACTTAATTGAAAAGGTGAAAAATCCACTTATTTCTTAACATAAACCATTAACTTGAAATAGAAAATTACTATTAGTACATTTTCATACAAAATTTAAAAAAAAGGGCCTAGTAAGGGTGCTTTTCTTTTTAACCATTTCCTGCCAAAGTCTTGTTCTTTTTTCCTCTTTATGTTTCATGTACTTGTGCAGTACATTGTAGTTTGTTATGAGCTCTGCAACACACCCAACATTATCATGTGCCAAGTCAAAGCTAAGAATTCATAAGATTTGTGTTCCAAGAATCACAAACAGAAACAACCTATTTAAGAAAAAGAAAAAAGAAGAGAAGAAGCATACCCTTTATCAGCAAAACTCTTTTATTAACAAGTTCTTGCCATGAAGACAGAACAGATTCTTGAAATGGAACAGTGCTACAACCCCAACAACAATGAGAACAATGGGAGAAGTTCCCATTATACCCCTCAATGGGAATTTCCATACCCCCAAACACCAGATCTTCTTGGCATCTCCCATTTGATCCCAAACCCTTCCGTTCCATTCTCTAACGCCTACCCGGAAACGTCCGGTTTCTTACCTTACTCATTAGGGGGTCTCCTTGGAAATTCCATATCCCAAGATTCAAGTGCCACAGACTCTTTCAACTCTTTGCCTCAGAGGGGCTATGGCTTTGTGGGGCCCTCAAGTATCAGCTCTCTCTTTGGTGAGAAAGATGAGGAGCTAATAAACTATGGTGCTTTTCACCAGAGTGTGGTTGGGAGTGATTATGGGAGCAATGTGGGCTTTGAGTTAAATAATGCTTTCATGGAAGGTTTTGGCAAAAGTAGAGGTGATAAGGATGATGCACATTTTGCCTTGGACAAGCAAAGGAGAGTCCAATTCAAAGACAAGTTTCAAGCCTTGAGGAAGTTGATTCCAAATCCCACAAAGGTAATGTGATGTACTTATGCCCCATTCTTAGGGTGAGCTTAAATATCTTTGGTCCTATACTCCATATGTCCTATAAAAAAAAGAGTCATAGTGTAAAAAAAAGTCTTTTTTGAACAAAAGAAGCTAGATTTCATCATGTTTAATGTTCCTTTTTTTTAAAAAGAAAATGACCCAATCAAATAATTCTCAAACACAGAGTATATAGTTATATACCACTTTGTTGGGACAGCATAGACAAATCAAGCGGAGGTGGAAATGGCCGACAAGGGTCAACAAAATGCACAAAAAAACAACATATATAAATAGAGAACACGTGATTTTCATGGAAATTCCAAATCAGGAAGCAAAACACAGAACCTTTCAATAATAGTTCCACTAATCACCAAGAATCAAGTGAGTACAATAAGTTCTTCTATCGAGTAAATGCAAACACAACCATCAAGGAACAATCTTCGCAAAACAACAACAACAAAACTTCACCAAAAACACAGCTTTTACTCTTCTTCTTTTTAAATGGGAGCATAGAGAGAATTAGTTTATGTGAGTGTAAAAAAATGACTCTTGTAAAATTGACTTTTGTACTAGTACCAAAATTCCCTTCAAATGTATGGGCTTTGTTGCAAAAAGAGTCTAATTTTTCTGCTTGACATCCACATTTATATACAAATCAAGAATGATAGAGCATCAATAGTGGGGGATGCCATTGACTATATAAATGAGCTTAGGAGGGAAGTGACAAAACTTGAGGGTCTCATAGAGAGGAAGAAGAAGAGACAGAACAATGGAAGTTCAATGAAGGAAAGGTTCTGGTTCAAGAAAACATCTAATGGCACAGAGGTGGACGTACACGTGATGGACGACGAAGACAAAGAAGTCACTGTAAAGATTGTGCAGCGGAAGGGGAGCGAGAACGGCAGCCGTATAGATTGCCTTCTCCCAGTCTCAAGAGTTCTTGATGAGCTGCAGCTTGGCCTTTGCCATGTAGGAGGTGGGCTCATTGGTGATTGCTATACATTCCTTCTCAATTATAAGGTTGTTTTTCATTCACTCACATGCTTCATTTTGATTTTTCCATACACTCTCTCCCCGTCGCATAGAAAGATTCCACGTTTCCTTTTTCGCCAGTCTAAAAAGATTCCACTTTTGGAAAGGCTTTGTGGCGCATATAATTTCTCTCTCCTCTACACTACTTTCAATCGTATAATTGTACTTTTTTCTTAACTTCTGCACCAAGTCAAATGTGGAAGCATTTAACGGGACAAAGGCAGTATTTTAGTGTGGCACACACTCGCAAGAAATGCCTGTATTGCACAGGCATATTGTGCCAGTGTGTGCTGGTGCAAAACATGGTGTACACCATGTTGGTGTGCAAGTAACATTTTTGATCGACTAAATATGAATGAATAATTTATAGGGATGAGTTAGGCCTAACAGTTATTCTTAATATATATGAAAGTCATACAATCTGACTATATGGCCCGACCCGTAGCCATGATAGTGTGACACCCTATGAAAGATCTTGCAAAGAATGAAGACGAGTCGACTAAATATGAATGAATGAACCCATTAATAAGTATGAGGCAAACCTCACCTCTTGAGAGCTCTTTCGGGATGAGTCAAGCCTAACACTTGTTCTTAACATTAAAGAGAGTAGAATGTTTTTTTTGTTAACCTTGTTTTGACCATCTTGCAGGTGATTGAAGGTACAACTACTATGCATGCCAGTACCATAGCCAACCTGGTCATTGAGGCTATGGAAAAAACAGTCACATAATTCTTCGCTTTATATAACACGCATTTGAGTCATGTAATTTTCATGAACGTAACACCAAAATAACCTCTTTTATATGGATACAATCTCTAGTTTCGAGTAGAGGTAAAGTCTGGATCCACACACACCCTCCACTGACCCAGCTTTCTGTGGGATTTTACTGAGTTTGTTTGTTGTTTTACAAAACATCAAGACTTTCTCAATGCAAAGCAAACAATAACTTAAGCAATGCCCTAGAAATATTGAAAGGCGTCAAGTAGAACCAAAACCATGAATGGATAAGAAGCGGATTCTCTACCATGCGGCACTCTGCGTAGCCAACCTTAGTCATCCAACAACAGGCATAGTGGGCCTAGCATCTTGATTAGTGGGACCTAAGTCGTTGATCCAACGGCTCCGGCCCAAAGGTAACATTTGGGTTTCCATATTTCTACCTCTTCACCAAAATGTAAATCACGACACGCGGAGTGAGGTAATCTGGATGCCAATGCATCTTATCAACACGCCCCACAATGAACTCCTTTGACACTGCTTCCAAGAAGTATTCAAGGATGGCATCTGTGGCAACAAGAAGAATATGAGAATAGTATATTTACTACTCCATAATATTCTAAAGCTATATACAGTTGGAGACTTGGAGTTACCATTTCTAAGTTCACCAGCTAAAACAATTGTTGTATGAGAACTGCATAGGTCTTTCAGTGTTTCCAACAAATCCATTACTGCTGCTTCGCTATAAATGACATCCGAACCCAAAACTGCAATGATGGAGGATTAAAAGATATAACAGCTGTCCATTTTATTTTAGTCAAGAGAAGAACATAACATGATATCAACTGAGGAGACTTCAGGCTTTATACATCAAATAGAGACATATATCCAGCAAACAAGGTATTCTGGATAATATTGGTTTATAAATCACATTTGTGAAGTCCTTAGTATTGAATACCCTGTAGTAGGTACTAATGTAAAACACGCTTTTACATTAAACTTTTTACCTCGGTCATTAAAGGAACGGCTCAGTTCCATGGCCACTGGAATCCAGTGGCCACGGAACCGGGCCGTTAAAGAAATGATGTAAACACTTCAGTTCAATCATTTTTATAAATTTTATGGAGTAAATGATTTTATTCATTAACTCACAAACTAAGTTCTTTGATTGGGCCATTTCATTAAGTTTTAACATATTTTCTTCATTAATTCACAAATCAACCGATGTAATGCAAAAGCGGTGTGCACCCTCCTTCCCAATATAAAGTTCACTATCTCCTTTTTTTACTCTCACAATAAACTTTGATTCGTTTTAAGGAATGAATTGTGCGGTTGACATATTCTTTTTAAAGTAAATTTCAACCTTACCTCTTTTATATGGCAAGAGTTGATGAACAAAAAAAATGAATTATCAAGGTATTCTGGTCTTTGAAGAGAGGTTAGTCATCTTACCATAATCAGGCAAAGGATTACACAGAACAGGATCGAGTTCGTCTCCCCAAGTGAGTTCAGTCACTGTTGCTGAACCTTTTACATCTCCATACAAATTAGCTTCAACATTTTTCTTCAGTAATCTCAATCTATCTGGGAGATCAGTAAGAATAACCCGAGCACCCAAAAAGGCAGTGATGCACCTGGAAATGATAACATTGAGAAGAAATACTCATAATTTACAAACAATGAAGTCTAACTTGGTAAGGAGTTGCAGTATGCTAATGATTAAAGTAGAATCAACACTGGTCTGCTTATAAACAATCGCTGGTCAGAAGTGTCCCGAACTAGTCTGCAAAATCTCTACAACAGAATATCGTTTTAGCATTTAATAGCTTTTCCAAGTTGGTTTGCTATTATAGATATTCTTAACTAATGATGATTAAAGTAGGATCAACACTAAAAGACAAAAGCTGAAGCACCAATATTCATTACCCCACTAATCCACAGCCAGATCCTAATTCAACAACCTTCTTTTCGTGCAGAGAAATTGCTTCTGATTCCACAGCATGCTCTAAGAATTTTCCAAGAACAACTCCACTATCCCACATTACTGAACCAGTTACTCCAGGAGTTCCCTAAAGTCAAAAGTATGTCTATAGTTGATCATTCAAGGTAATAGTGATTGTAGTTGTAATTCTGTAAAAATACAAATTGTGTGTGAGGAACTGAGAAAGAGGGATTTTAAGAATGGTATCCCGCATCACGGATCAAGAAAACCGGATATCCGCCTTCCCTGAAATTGAAGAAGTGTATGCTTGTAATTGACCATTTGAGGGATGAAAGATGGAGTTTTAGAACACTGGTACAGAGTATCACGAGACAGTAATCCCACTAGCTTATAATAACTGCAAAATATTATTTTGAAACCATGGTACCACAAATTGCCAGAATTACATGTTTCTCACATGTCACAGAGATGGAATACAAAGTCCAGAGAAGCTATAGACAGCTTGAACAGTTTTGGCAAGCATGTCGGAAAATGGTTATCTTTCATTACACACGCAAAGATTGGAGAGTTACAATCTTTTGTTAGTTCCAGCAATACGCTTAAATCTTGACAAACACATCAATTCATATATATTTTCCACAAAAAGCAAACATGTAGGCTTTAGAATGACATCATCCCTAGAACAAGAATAGAAACTATTGTAGTGTAGAATAGAAAACACTACCTTAAAAGTAAACTCAATATCACCGCTGCAGGCTTTAGAACAACATCATCTCCAAAGTTAGCCAAGTACCCGTGTAATCGTGCACCCAATTCAGGGATTAGCACTGCTTAAAGTGCCAAACAAGGAAACAAAATGGTTCTTATTCTTTTGGTATTCGTGGAAACAGCAGGGAGAATGATAGGAGTATTGGCAACTCAAATATAAAAGGAGAAAAAGAGTGCTGCATGAGCTCTCAAACAAGACATTCATGCCTTGGGAAAGTTGATAGTTATCTTAAACTACTGCGTAGGTCCCTTCTCAAAATGAGAGTTTATTTAGTCCACATCTCTGATGGAGCCAAAATTTCACCATTTTTGGCTTTGGGGTGTGATGGAATAAATCAAAATGGATCTCTAAACTGTCTGCGCTTCTTTAATTAATGAAGTAGCAGTTAGTCAAGCAATGCAACTTTCGACGTTGAGCCGGGGGTCTCTTTGGAAACAGCCTCTCTACTTTTGAGTAGGGGTAAGGTCTGCGTACACACACCCTCCCCAGACCCTACTCTTGTGGGATTTAACTGGGTTGTTGTTGTTGTTGTTGTTGTTGTTTCAGCCTCTTAATGGTTCAGATGTCTGAATGGTTCAGTACTTAATGGGTCAGACTGTTTGTTTCAGCCTCTTAATGGTTCAGATGTCTGAATGGTTAAGAGATTTGCCTCTGAATGGTTAAGTATTATACGGAGTCTGAATGGTTAAGACCTCTTATCTGAATTGATCAGACATTTGCCTCTGAATAGTTAAGCAATATACTAGCTCTTAATGGTTCAGACCTCTTACTGGTTCAGCACTTAATGGTTCAGACCTCTTACTGGTTCAGCACTTACCTATTCGGAAGTTACCAAACAACCCCTTAGTCTAATGCAACCTATAGTTAAAGTAAGAAATGCTCCCTCTGTCCTAAAACAAACTCCATGCTTTGACTTCACAGAGTTCAAGAAAAATATTGTAAAGTGAAAAGTGTATAGTTAGAATTTGTTCAAAAGAAAAAGAAATTATTAGCGTTACACATTCCTTTACTTTAAAAGGAAATAAGGAAACTATAAAATTTATTTTAGAACGTACAGAAAAGAAAGTGTGAAGTTTATTCTGGGACAGAGGTAGTAATTACTTGCAAAGAAATAATGAGATGAAAATGTAAAACCTTCATCACCATAAATAATGGCGAAGAAGAAGGGAAGGCCAAAGAAAGCTAATGGATCTGGGAATACGCAGGGGGAGAATCGGGAATCACCTAATAACAACAACATTGTACAGAATTTGAAGAACACCTGTAAGGATTCTCCGGAAACCAGTGGATCGGAGCTCAATGATGAAAACCCTAAGACTACACCGGAAGAAAATGGCGTACAGGAGAAGGATCTCAAGGAGCAATCACCGAAATCGTATGCAGAAGCGGTGGGATTTCCGGAACTGATTGAACTAGATCTGAAATTTGTACAATCGGAAGAGGTGAATGGCATTCAGGTGGCGAAATTTACCAAGGATGATGTTGTGGAACAATCAAGGTACTGGGATTCTGCTATGATACTTTGCGTTTTGGGAGCTAATCCCCCAATAGATGTTATTAAGGGCTTCATAGCAAGAATGTGGAAAATGTATCCCAT